AGCAGGGTAGAGCATCTGAGCAAGTGGCGGAAAAGAATGAGAGTGATATATTATAGATCGAAAAGTGAAGCCCCAAAATGAGCAGACCGCATCGCTTTTGTAGTTCGTAGATGTTTAGGACCGCTGTAGTATGATATCCAACTACGGAAGCACTGTTGTAGATGTTTGCCTTGGCTGTTGACAGGAAGAGCGAGCAAAGCTCAAGGAGCGTACAGCTGCCTATGAGAAGGAGCGGGACTCAGAATGAAGTCACCACCGTTTCTTTGACCTTGCTGCAAGGTGCAAGGTCCGAAACATTAGCAAGTATCTCAAATTGCTCTACCAATAGTCGCTAATCATAGATATATAACTTCCTTCCTGATCATCGTCCTGACTTCTTCACTTCGCTTCCCTGACTTGATTGTCGCTTCATTCGTCGCTTTAGTTCCTCTCGGAGAGCACCAGGAGTATGCTGACACAGCCGCAGAGCTTGTGAAGCTCCGGCGAGAAGCCAAGCTGAATGGGAACTTCTTCGTGGAGCCTGAGGCGACACAGGGGAAAACGGGGAAATTCAGCGATTAGCAATTGAGGTTGAGCAGTTTCTCCAATCGAAGTCATGTTTCATGTTCTTTGCGATTCTTTGTTTCTTTGGGACAACCAGCAGCACAAAGAACATAAATGCTGAGGGTCCATGGCCACAACTAGTGAGACTGGTGAAGTAGCTGGTCAAACTGTGAGGCAAAACTGATCTTCGTGGTGCGCATCGCGGGTATCATGAAGATGAGCCCCAAGCCCAGGACGGATGAGCATCCTACCGCGTTCGCATTGAGATGTCCCCGATTTCCCAGAGCCTAGCAGGTGCCAGTTCTGTACATGGTCCTAATCCATTCGGAATATCTTGGCAGGAAGGTGCTGCAACTTCTGCGGCTGAAGCAGCTGCACAATGGAGTCTTTCTGAAGGCAAACAGCTGTTGCGTTGCTCTTCAAGACTTGGAGATTGACTGCGACAGATGACAGGTCAACAAGCCGATCTTGAACATGCTGAAACTTGTGCAGCCTTATGTCACCTATGGCTATCCCTCCTTGAAGACAGTGAGGGAGTTGATCTACAAGCGTGGCTTTGGCAAGGCTGGAGACTGAGCTCCGACAGGAAAGTTTGAAAGACATTTCAGTAAGCAGCGAAAGCTTGTGCAAAGGTGAGCAAGCAGCGCATTCCACTGTCCTCCAACGACATCATCTCTGAGAACTTGGGCAAGTCCCATGGACACATTGTGAGATACATAGTAGCAAAGGGCATCGCTACTAGGAGCAAGGACGCTACAGAGGCTCCTGGCCTTACTACTAAGAACAAGAAGCTACTAGGGGCTCCTGGCATCGCTACGAAGGGAGCAAAAAGGTAAACACCAATGTCTTCCGTGTGCTCCAAGGCACGGCATTCATGGAATGGAGGATATCATCCATGAAATCTATACCGTTGGCCCCAGCTTCAAGCAGGCAACATCAAGCTGATCGTTTTTTTTTCTTCAGTCCCAGCAAACGTGTTTGTGTGCTGGGTGCTGCGAAGGTCTCCAACTTCTTGTGGCCATTCAAGCTCTCCTCCCCCAAGGGTGGCTTCATCAACAAGCGTTGGGAGCTTAGATCCAGAATTCACCCAAGTACTTTGTGTAACCAGGACAGTCATTGGCTGAGATCCTTCCAGGTCATGGCTTCTGTGAAGCTCGTGGGGGTGACTGGGGCAACCGCGAGGAGAGTTATGTGCAAGAGAGAGGGGGAGAGAGAGTTCTTTGAGCCCTGCGACCGAAACAAAAATAACAATTCGATTTAGACATTTTTAACTAGTTGTTTTCTTTTTTTTTTCCTTATGTTTTAAAAGCCGTATATATTTTTTGTTATTTTCTCCAGGACCTGATCAACGACCTCTTGAGACGGATGAACTGAGCCCAGTGTCCATTACATTCGAACACTGCGACCCCTTGGAGATGTGGAGAAAAGGAGGGGATTATATAAACTGATGGTGAGCGACTGGTGAGGAGGATTATGCAAGCAACTTCGTCCCACACCTGATTTTTGGACTCTCTTGGCTCAAGGCTGTTTTGTTAAGGCAGTCCCCCCAATTCTCACTTGACAGAAGAGTACAATATGCCAAGAGTAGTTTGGATCGGTCGACCCGTTTAATTTTAGTGGCAGACCTGAAGTCAAAAGCTGCAAGACACAGATTTGGAGCTCTTGAGAGAAGCTCTGAAAGCTGCAGCATGGAGGTGCGCGGCCTAGGGAATTGATGCGTTGGCCTGTTTGCTTGGTGTTTTGGCATCACATCGTTGGATGGCCTGAAACCTGACCACACCAAGGCTCTACAATGTGCGCACTGTGGAACTATTGAGGCTGGTCGAGTCTGCCCGCCTCCATGTCCAATCTGAGGTCCTTTCACTTTAGAGTCCCTTTGAGAAAATGGAATGACAGGATGTGGACTATGTTTGCAGTCGATGCAATTCCTGTTTCTACTGCTCCGAAGATTGCCAGCGTAAGGAGCCCCGTCGGCACGTATAGACTCGACAAAGGTGTTTGTGCGGAGAAGCTTGCATTGACACTGTCCAGTTGTGATTCTCGTTCGTCACCTGGAAGGATTGGAAGCTTCACAAAGACATCTGCTTCACGAAGCCAGGCTTTGATGCTTGCTCAGTGGAGAAGTCAGATGAGGAGGGATTTGTAGAGGAGAGCGAATCCAACGACGGGAATGAAGAACGCGATGAAGAGAATGAAGATGACGGGAAAGCAGAGGCCTTTGAGGACCACTCAGAAGGAGCCGAACAAGAACCTGAAGTTGACCAGTCCATGGAAGAAGGACAGAACAGCAGTGCAGATCAAGAAGAGTCTGAGGAGGAAGAGGAAGAAGAAGATAGTGAGGGTTCCGACGTTGAAGAGCTAGGAAGTGGAGAGGATGCAGGATCAGAAGCTTCACGAAAATACCCGAACAGGTTCTTGGGGTGTGGTCTTGTGGAATCTGATCTCACCTTGTCAAACTCCCTTTCTACTGCAGTGGAATGCGGTATGTACGATATGTGGTCCATTTTCTATTTTTGGTTCAGGTACAGCGATTCGTGCGAAGACCAAAAAGGTAGCACAGATTCTCACCAGAGAGACGGCGACACAACAAAGGAAGGGTCAAGTTCTAGCAGGCCGTGTGTTGGCAGTTTCTGTACAACTTGAATGAACGAAAGGCTTTGTGATTGCATTTCCAATGTCAGAGAATGCTGCGTGGGTTGAGGCAAGAAGAACGGTGCGAGAAAGCCACACACAGTATCAGTACGGCCTGCTTTGGGCCCTTGGCCGAGTTGCAGGTGGGCGGATGATTCTGGTGAATAACTTCCGGAACATTAATCATTACAAAGAGTGGAAGAGAGGCTGTTTGCCAACAGATGTACCGAGACCGCTGGTCTTCTTCATATTGCAGGGCACATCTTGAAGAGTGCTGTGCACAATCTCGCTTTCTGAAGTTTTCTTCAGGCAGGCATGAAGATGGAAGCATATTTCCGCTTACCTGATGGCAAGCAGAGCTTTAGCCCCTTTGATGGTGAATGCAAGGAGCTGCAAACACATGATTTTTGAGCAAGAAGAGCTGCAGTGAATATGCAGTGATTTCCCGTGATTGGCCTCATGTGTATTTCCCACTACCATGGACCAGAGTGAATATGAATGAGTCACCTCCTGGGACAGGAAATGCTACTTAGCAGCTACGCGGCAAACCACGTGAATTGACGTTGCCATCCTTTAATTACTAGAAACAATAATCTTTGCATATCTTTGTACAGTAATGCAAAGACTAAGCTCAGCAATTGAAGACCTCTTGCTTCACACTAGGAGAGCTTCGCTTCCGGCATTGACGTACTCTTCGAATTTGGCATCGTGCAGCACATTCCATGGACCTGGGTAACGACCGTGAATGGCAAGCTGGTCTTGGACCAGGTGCAACTTGAAGTTTTGATTTTAGATGATTTTATGCTCTTCATGATGCAGTTGCTTTTTTGATGTGGACAAGTGTTGGATGAAGGACATGACCAATTCCGTTCCTGCAACCCGCTCTGGACAAGAAGTTCCCACAACTACTGCTTCCAGTGGTTCCGAGGAGCGATGATTCCCATCAGAAAGGCTTTGTTTTGTGAATACTCGAGCAGTGCCGAACGTTGTTTGCGACAAGCTTCATTCTGCAAGTATTCAGCTGCTGCCATTGATGCACGGGGGCCTGATGTTCGAACGTTCTAGATTCTATACTTCAAGATTTGGTGGCCAGAATTCGTGGACAAGCTCCAGCTCCACTGAATGTTTGGAGCACATTCTTCACGTTGAACAACTCTTCGCTATGTCCTATTGCGTCGAACAACTCTTCGTCGAACATTGAACTTCTTTGCGTTCCCCTCGTGGTAACAGCATTTGTCTACGCAGGACACCCCTTGTACTGTCGATGTCAACAGTTCGCCACACTTGCTCAGAAGAAGCCTTGTGTCCCCCAACGGTGGACGCATGTAACAAATGACCTCCCTTCTCGAGGCTTCTCCGGGACAGCACAGATAGGTGATTTCTCTATCTGGCAGCATCAAAAAATGTACCAAAACCATGACGCTCAAAAAGCAATTTCCCAAATGCCACATTAAACAAGAAGAGGACTGCGAAACTACAAGAAACAAAGGTTGCGGTTTGAAAGCTGGAAGACCTTAGAAGAAGACATTGACAAATTTGGGGTCAAGTAAATCAGTTAAGCGGCACAACACTGAGGCAGCTGGCTGCAGCCTCCCTGCAAGGTTTTGAAACCCAAGAACCTAACCTATTGAAGCAGTATTCCCCACCTAGCGTCAAAATTCCACCAGACAAAAACATGAAACCTAAGAGCGATGGCCTCCAATCATAAGATTAGGAAGGAACATGACATTGACATTATGGCATTGCAAGAGACCAACGTCAGTACATCTAGGACTTGATGTCCATTGTGTTCTACATAATGGTCGGCTTCAGGAATTACGCACCCCATAGCGGCAGAACATTGGGATCGCCGGCACGAGATATTCAATCCATCGCCGTCCGCATGTCTTTGGTTTGGAAAATCACTACGTTCAATCGCTACCTGATGAACCACGCGAGAATCGTCAACTTTGAGTGATTCCTTCATTGCGAATGATTACGTTGTATCCAACCTGTTCTTCCAAGACATGAAAAGAACAAATGCACTGTCAAAGAGTCCTGCACGGATGGTTTCAAAGGTCCATGGACACTCGACCGCTTGCTCCAGCGCATTTCCAGCAAAAGAAACCACATCAAATCGTGCCTATCTCTCGGCACAGACATGGAATATGATACAACAAAGACAAACTGCTCGTATACAAGGTCGCACCGACCAAGAACAAAAACTGAACCGGGAGATCAAGAAACATGCGAAGGCAGATAAATTACGTTGGATAATCCAAAAGTTAGACCACCTGACCGATTCCAGAACTGCTTGGAAACAAATTTGTGTGTAAAAGCAGAACAAGACTATACCCGACACGATTACAATATTGTATCAAAGATATCCGGGGTCAATGAGTGCCTCTTTCCAAAAAAAGTGCACGCCACAGCGTAATACTTGTATATCTACTGTATAATATATAATATATATATAGATATATATATATACACGAAAAGCAATGGGCCCCGCCCATTGACAGAAACAAGGGGAACATTTTCAATCATGAACTTCCATTCAATGTAAGCCCCATTTCAACACCTGAAATACAACGAGTAATCCCCAAGATCAAGGCCAACAAAGCCGCTGGCCGTGATGGAGCCATCAGCGAGCTCTTCAAATGACTAGATGACCGCTACATCCAAGCATTCACATATTGCTTAACCGCTTTCTGGCAAGAGCGTTCTTGTATAACATCACGTAAGCCCACGTATCATGTTTGCATAAAGTTTTAGCTCATGACAATCCTGAAAATTAGGCAAAGTACCGTTCCATTATCTTCTTTTAAAATCAAATAACAGCTACAACATCTTCACCCGTGTTGTTCAAAACATATTCATTAGTTTTGTTTGTGTTCTGTATATCTTGACACTCAGTTGGCTTCAGAGCCAGCCGCTCCACAGCCGACCCGCTATTATTGTGTCCACCGTCTTACAGACTTTGCAGAACAAGGAAATCAGCTACTGTAGTATTCCTGGACTGGGAGAAGGCTTTTGATAAAATTGACCATGAAACATGTTTTTTATGGCTTGCAAGATTGCGCATACCCTCAGCTCTCCTGGACATCAAGAGCATTTATTCCAATCCATATTCTAAAGTCATCCAGAACGCTAACTTTTGAAAGCGATTGGAACAAGCAACTGCTAGGTCATGGTTTTCTGGGAAGACCCTGGTATGCGGTGGTGGCAAGTTGTGCAGAATGTAGTTAGCTCGGGGGCTGCCCTTTAAGCCCTGATTTTTTCATCCTCACAATGCATGTCCTTTTCCATGATGTTAAGTGTCAATAGTGAATGCAACGACCTGCAGCATCGAAAATACTTTCAAGGTATTGACTTTCAAGAACTGCTGTACGCCCGTAGTGCTAGGTCGGCCAACGTCTACTTGCATTTGATCGAACAAGAGTCGGGGTATCTACAGTTGAAACTACACCATGGTAAGTGTACTTACATCTGATTCAATTCCCCTAGAGGCAACATACTTTTCAGGAATCGAAAAAGAATGCAGACTTCATCCGAAGCCAAATATTTGGGCGCACTCATCACAGAGCATGGATACCCAGCTCAAGAGATTCGTCTTAATGCCAGTTTTGAGACGTCTGGACATCTTCTGGACAAACGCAATTGTGGCAAAAAGTGGAAACTTCTTGTAGGCAGCCTACAACTCAGTCATTACCTCTCCCACAGAGGCCGCGGCGCACCTTCTGATTTTCTTTTTCATTTGAACGGAATACGCAAAGTCCACAAGTTCCATACGACTTTCATTGATACAAACAACACGAACGATTTTGTGTACAGCAGAGCTAATGAAGTGAGGAGTCCCCGACACAAGGCCCATCAAGGCCCATTACGTAAAATCAAACCGTTGCCTGAAATCCTGACATGAAACAATTAAAACTCCTGGGCCAACACCAAGTCACCTTTTGCTCCAACACTGCTATTCCCAAAGTTCTGGTTTACCGACAAGTCCGAAGACACTGGAATTTATGAAAAGAGCGTGGGACATCATCAAAAAGAATGATAGTTTTCAACCTAATCTCCTTGTGACAGCCAAAACAGAGCTTTGCATGAAATTATGATGCAAAAAGCAATGAAATTATTAATTAGCCATGTGACAGGAATACTCTCTGTGAAATGAACACTCTATGTAAACTGGAGAGTCTATGGGAAGTGGAGACTCTACGTGAACTGGGCACTCGAGGTGGAATGGCAATTCAAGACCTTAATTTCACAAGTACTTCATCAACTATGAACACCCTCTTGCTTGTGCAGAATGCAAGCAGTTCTACAGTTTTTCCTTAATATTTAGCAATTTAGCTATTTTCCATCTATTCTATGTTTCTCACCAAGCACGACCCGGTGACATGTCACTTCCCCGTTTCTATTTTAAGTTCCTCAGTTTCCCTTTGCACACATAGCATTTTTATAACACAGTAGGTGTAGGGCCAACGGCTGCCAAAGGCATCGCCAGAAGTTGCTTAGGCAAACAATTAGTAGCTTTAGAGGTTGTTCCGGCTTGATCCCACCGAGTGCTGCAACGTACAGGAGGCAAGTGATGGTCAAGAAGTCAAGAAAGAAGAGGAGCTGCGCATGCAAAAGGAAGAGCAGGAGAAGAGACATAAGCTGCTCAGGCGGAACGTTAAGAACCTGCATTTTTTGCAGAGTTGAAAGTGTGAGAAAGAAGTGTGGAAGCCAAGACAGCTGAGCTGCAGGTTGGGCAAGTTTTTGCAAAACAAGACGATGCACGCCTTCCGGCGGGATGCCCGTGCCATTCGGCGCGAGCATGCTGAGCGAGTGAAGCAACAAGAAGAGGAGCAGCAACGAAAAGTCGGGAACTGAGGTCAAAGCATGGAAGCATGCTTTCAGCAAAGTGACCTGCAGAAACCACTTGTCAGGAAGCAGAGCAAAGGAGGAAGGAGGAGGACCGAACCAGCTGCCTACATCGCCTCCTTGTAGAGTGTTATTTTTTTTGAGTTGCTCCAGCTTGGCCCAAAGCTCAGGTGCAGTAAGTTGCAATGTTTTCTTGAATTATCTTGAATTCCTTGCCAGTTTGAAGGGATTTCCCAGGAGCAGCGGCGGCGTGAGCACCAAGAGCAGCAGAGGACCTGCACTTTGTGACTGTTTTAAAGGATCTTAAAATGGAACTTCAATAAAGTTCTGTTTGCAACAGCTTCATTAATATGAATGGACTTTCACTTCATTTGCTTGCACAACCATGCAGGAAACTTAAGGAGGAGAAAGAAGCCAAGCGCCAGTCCTGTCCTTGTTGGCTTCAACTCGAACGAACACTTCAAAATGTCCGTCTCATCAGTAGGTTCCTACTACTTGCCTTTGTTCTCTTAGATTCCAATTCCAATTCTAGTCGATTCAAGCAAGGGCAGAGGAAGAGCGCCGCCTAATCATTGAAGAGAAGAGACGGGAGAAGTTGGAAGCGAAGGCTCCATTTTTAGCTTGACGTTTAGGTTGGTACAAGCCTGAAAAATCAATTTGCCTTACACCTTCCAGGCTTTGCTCGCGCAGCAAGAAGCAGAAAAGCAGGCCAGTGCGCGCAAGAGATGGAACGCACAACGCGCGACTGGAGGAGTTCCGCTTCCTGAGGCGGAAGAGCAAAGACGTAGACAAGAACATGTGGAGGAGCTGCGACAAAAGCGTTTGGAGTCGGAAAGGCGGGGAAGGGCTCTGAGCCAAAGCAACGGTGAAGTAACGGCTCTGAGCTGTCGCAGCTCAGTCCAAAACAGATTTTATCAGGCAAGATGAGGCGGAGTGGCGGGCCAAAGAAGAGCAGCGCAAGAGCAAAGCTTCCATGTTTGAGAGCTGAGTGGCTGTGAGAGAAGATAACACTTTGTTTGCATGAACTTTAGTGACTCAGCAGGTCAAGAGCTTCAACGGAAGGAACTAGCTCGAGCAAGGCAAGGGAAAGACGCTTATCAAGACTTTGGACAAACAGGAACAGCTGGGGAAGTTTGTGATTTGTGATGTTTCCTTAGACGCTGTGTTGGAAGTGATTCAGGGGTGAGCAGAAGAGAGAAGAAGAGGCCATTGCTTGTTGTGAGAAGAAGAGGCTACTGCCACTGCTTTGTGCAACGAAGCACGCGATCCACTCCAGGTGCGACGTCGAGAGCGCTTGTTGGCTCGGAAGCAAGGCTATTCCTGGCGTGCAGAGGCGGGCCGGGCTCGGTGTCCAGAAAGCGGCACTGGGACGACCGAGACGCTTTGACGGTCATTTTGGACATGTCAAAAGTAGCTTGAACACACTCGCTTTCATCAAGCTGTTAGGTCGTGGCCTTCACAAGCACTTAGAGTCTTAGAGTTTACTCAAATGTAGAAATGACATGTAAACATTCCAGGTCAGGCAAATTTTATGAAGGCTTTGTAAGAGTTTGACTGCAGGTTGCTGAGGCGCAGAAACACAGGCGCAATGAAGCTGGAAACGAGAGATCTCAAACGCTCTGAAGCTGCCTCTTGTAAAAACACGAGATCTCATGGTTGGCACCCCCTACAGATTGGTGTTCACCGAGGCAGGGCGATCAGCCAGAACCAGCTCCACAGGCACAGGAAAAGGAGCATCAGGCCAGACGTTCCAAGAACTTGCAAGACCTCATGCGTGAGTGGCATTATAGTTGGGGCTGACAAAAGGCACCAAAGTGCCTTGATGGGCTATGGACGGATTTGAACGCCAAAGACCAAATATGCATAGGAGATTGATGCATTCTTGAGTGCCAGGATGCTGCTGCCAAGCGGAGAGCTGAAATCGAAAGGGAAAGGCACTCCTTTGGTGAAATGTTTCTTGTGCCACAGAATTGAGCAACGCATTGTCCATCAGTCTCTGGGACAGGAAAGACAGAGAAGAGAAAATGTTCCTTGCCAAACTTCTGACTCGTCCGAGCAAGTTTTTTGAGCTGGAAAAAACATGAAAAAAGCGTTGGTTTCGCGGTTGCACGTCATTCTAAAAACAACAAGAATGCCGTGATCTGCTTTAATTAGTGTAATTCTAATTTTATGTACTTTTTTTTGAATGTGATCACACTTCTTGAGCTGACTTAGGCGGCGGAAGGCTAACAAAGCAGAAGACGAAAGTGCTCCTGCCAATGAGACCTACGAGGCACCGATGATGACTTGACTTGACACTTTTGAGATCAGAAACGGTCCTCCTTTCGGAGTATTGAAATGCTTCCAGTACAGCTGTCAGCTTTTCGAGGAGAAGAAGCAGCGTTTGTTGGCTTTGGCTCGAAGAAAAAGGGAAGAGGTGGCCGCCACCGCCAAGTCCAGGTCGAGCACGTCGAAGCACAAACGGAGCACTTCGAAGCGCGCTCACGTCCATCGCTTTGGTGGTCATGGAGCCACATGGTGAGGCTCGCCAAAGTGAAGTTTCATGGTGAAAGCGACGAGGCCAAGAGAGTGGTGACTGACTTGCCAAAGGAAATGGGTTAGAAAACGAGCCTTTTTTGTTTCGTTTGGATGATGTGCAACTTTATGACTTGATCACAGCTTTGAGGACTCCGACCAAATGGATGACTACATGGTCTCTGCTAGAAAGCAGAAGGACGCCTTGCACCTGGTTGCTTGAAATGGTTCGGGTAGGCTATCGTGATCTGAGCAGG